CCCCAAAACCCCAAAACCCCAACCCCAAAACCCCAAAACCCCATGATAGAATATAACAATTAGGATTTAAAATATAAAAACATAAAATGAAAGTGATTTCTGATCTTAAAATTGAGTTAGAGTCATTTGTAGGAACTAAGGTTAATGCTAATGTCACACTTATTATACTTGAGGAAGCTGCGTAAGTTATAGTTTGTGACAGTTATCATAAGTTAAATAACATGATATGCACAATGAATCTCTATCCAGATGTAAGTAGATTCTATATACTTTCAATTATGATTGGATAACCAATAATTGCAGGAATAAAAAAGTATAACTTCGACTAAAGTAATGGATGATACTGATTTAGGTTTAGAAGATGATGGTATAGTCTCAGATAAAGCACTAAAGATGTCAGAAAAAATATGTATCAGAACTTAGCAAAAACAATTTATTATTATAGGCTAAAAAGTAGGCCTGAAACAACTTTTATTTAGCTTTAATTTGGGATTAAACGTAGTGGAATTGATGAATCAAGATGTAAAGCTAGGCCTAATGATTGAAAAGAAACTTATAGATATGCTAAAAGAACATATGCAAGGCTGAAAATTTTTAGGAAATAAAAGATGTGACAATGATTCCTTGGCCAAATGTTTAAGATTAATTATGGTTGATTAAATGAATGACTGATTGTTATATAGTTGAGAATTAAATGCTTATTATTATTAATATTCTAATCCTTAGCTATTAAATATGTCAGAGAGTGATCACGAGTAAGATATTTCCTTTCCCTTATCTCAAATTTACAATAGAAGAGAGCCAGAGCAAGTCGTTGTTGAGGAGGAGAAAGCCGATAACATCCACACCGCCACTAAAGTCGTCATCAAGAAGTCATTAGCCAACAATGGTAAGGCAGCAAACTTCCGTTTTCGTTCATGATCTAAGATTCATACGAATAGGTCTTGTGAAAGGATTGAACGAAGTTTGCAAAGCACTTGACCGCAAAGAAGCCCTTCTTGCCGTCCTTGCTGAGGATTGTGAAGATGCTAAATACAAAAAACTCATCACCGTAAGACATCCCCTGCTTGATAACTTAACTTTTAGTCTCTTTGCAAGGCTAACAACATCCCCTTGATCGAAGTAGAGAAGAGATCTGAGCTCGGAGAATGGCTCGGTCAATGCAAATATGACAAACAAGGAACCGCCAGAAGAGTCAGAGGTGCCTCATCAGTTGCCATTAAGGACTACGGTGAAGAGACTGAAGCCCTCAACTTTGTTCTCAACTACATCAAAGAAAACCAACAATGAGGAACAAAGCGAGGTACACATAGTGCACTTATTTAGTATTCCTTAATAAATTTGCAGCAATAAATATTCTAAATATATTAAAAGTTTAATTCCAATGATAGTCAAATTTAAGATATTTTCAAAGTATATATTGAGTTATTAAGCAAATCAAATAATAATTTATTATTCATGCAGCATAAGCGCATTTTGAGATTCAAGTAATTCTAGAATATCTTCAACTACTGACTTTATCTCAACTGTTTATCAATACTTTCCACAATTTTTCAGCTGTTCAAAGCAATCTGAATAGAGTATCCTCATTATTTGCTTTCTCTGAGCCTTAATGTCTATTTACTGAGTCTGCTTGTTTCAGTTGTGTGAGAAGTTTCTTTTAAGCCATTGTGTAATTACCTTCCAATAATGCCTCCTTTTCTTGAGGGTTATTCCACAGATGATTAATTTTTAACATATTTAACTTGGTTTAGATTATTGACTATCAAATCTTTTAAAGGCCTTAGATTGTAGATGTAATTTTATCCAAGGACGCTTTCCTTCATATGTTCTTGATTCTTAGCAAGTTACTCATACTCAATTGAATTTTTCTTGTTATGATTTAGATTGGGCTACTAACTTTACACACTTGATCTCTTATTACTTACTCTTTATTCTTCATATTCCCCATCACTTGGCATATTATTTGTTGACACATTATTCGAAATGCTGTTCTAAATATTACTGTTATTATTGATTTTCCTTTTCTTTTCATTACTGTTCATGTTCTCACTATAAGGGTTTGTGATTTCATTCTATCCTGAGAACTGATACTTAATTCCCGTTATTTAAGCTCTTGCAATATCTGTCAATGCTGTTGTAATAAGGTTATTTTTCGATATATCTCCTCCATAAATATAACTTTATCCGATTACTCCATTATTTTAATTCACGAGCTATGATTCATTTAGTTTCATGAATCTTTTATCTTTAGACTTTCTCTTTGATTTTCTTCTCTTCTTTTTGTGCTTCTACAGAAGTTACTCTCTTATCAATTCCTGATTGATATCAATGTTATTATCATTTATCGTTGAATTTGGTGAGGTTATTTAGATTCGTTGATCATTGTGAAAGTTTCCTATGATAATATTCTATATTATTAATGACTAATTATTAGACATTGACATTTATTGCTATTATTACTGCTGCTACTAAATGTATTGCTATTACTATTGTTCAGAAAAAAATGTCTGTCTGTAATGTGGTTGCTAACGATCATTATCAGATTTATACATTTAATGATTCTATTGATTAGACAAAAGACCTACATTTTGCTCTCTTCTATTATGTAGGTTATTTTGATGAGTACCACCATAAGATTTTTCAAATGGAGCTGGTTTGAAATTAAGACCATCTCCAATATGAGTGCTAAACGAGTATGGCCGATTGGTTTTAGATTTCGCATTCTCATCATAATTTGCTTGCTATTACTATTACTTTGGTGTTCCAATAATTACGATTCCTTGATTCTAAATTATCTTACTGCTTGGTGTTTTTAAACTTGCAACTCCAACTTGCTACCGATTACTCTTCGTGTTTATTGTTGATGGAATGTCTTAATCGCTAGTAATTAAAATTCTACTAGATTTGCTTTGAGATGCAAGTCTCATTCTTGAATTTTATATTGAAGGATTATTTTGATCATACTATTATTATTGCTATTCTTTTTGGTAAGATTAGATGCTGAGATTTTCCTAGACCTAGTATTGTTGCTAATTATAGTAAGGTCTTTGGTTTGATGATTTAGATATGAACTTTCCTTATCCCTAGAATTATTCAAAAGATTTCATAAATGGAACTTCTTATTAACTCTGATTTGTGTCATTAACTTTGTACTTATCTTAAGATCTTGATTAAATCATTTACTGACCAGACCCAGCTAACAAAGAGTTTCTTTGATTTAGAGATACAATATTCCCTAGATTTTAAGGTCCATACTTTAAGAGATTTCTCACATTACTTGATACACCTTGATAAACTATCTTTTACTGATCCTTGTCTGATTAATCACTGACCTGAAATTTGCTGACATCAGAGTATTTTGACTTGTTCAATGATTAGTTTTGCTAATTCATTTAATTTTGATTATGTTTGAGTATTAATCCAGAAACTTATAGAGGCTAAGTGGACAAATTCTACATTTTATCTCCATAAACCATTCCAATTACTTATCTTCCAGCACTCTAATTTTGACTGATAAATTTTTAGTACTATGAAGGGATATTATCATTCTTTATAATTCTATTAGTATTAGGAATCTGCTAAAGTTGATTAGCTTATTTCTTAAGCTAATTCTTTTATACTCCTGTATTGATAAAAGAGTTAGTAAGATTTTATTGAGTCGTAATAATTTAACCAACTTATTAAGTTTTCTTTTGATTTTTAGATGTATAGGGTTCTTTATTTGGATAAGAATTCTAATCTTTCTACATTTCTTCATTGTTCATCCGATCAATCTAAATTGATTTTAGATTACTCATTTCACCCTAAATTTTTCCCTTTTTCTTTCCTTTTTTACCTCTCAAAACACTTTTATTGTACATTCTATCAAAACTTTCAATTGCTTTGATTATGTCATTTTGTAACTCCTAAAGTTCACTTGGAGATAAGTCATCATGCCCTTCAGAGTTTTCATCTTCACAGCAATCACCTCCATCTTCATCATCATCGTCATCAGAGTCAGATGATATACCTTGATTCTAGACTTTAACTTCAGAATTTTAAAGATCATCATTTCCTTTATTGTCAGGCTATTAAATATTTATCACCTTCATATCTCTTTTTAAGAGTTTGTATATGGATTTAAGTGTTCTTTTCTGAGTTTATTAATTTTCTGATTTTTGCAGTGCTGATTTTGTCTTCTGCTTTCTTGATATCAAGTCTATTTTAGATCGATCTTAATCATTATTTTCTTAAGGATTACTATCTTATTGAGAAGGATTTGATTCATCATCTTTGATTGAATTAATTGAAGAATGTTCTGCAGACTTTTTTACTTCTATGACAACATCAACTCCTCCAATATTTTGAATGCTTTAAATTTGATTTATCAAATCTTTCTATTGATTTCTATTAAATTAACTTGAATCTCTTATATTAAAAGATTACGATCTCTTTGTAGGTAAGGCATAATTAGGCAAGCCTTTACTGTATCTATCATTTCCCTCCAAGTTTACATTTGATCTATCCAATGCAATAGTATGTTTCTTAAACTACCTATTTTCATCTTAATCTGATGAAAAATTTTGATCCAGTATCTGGATCTTGCTCTTAGCTTATCCTCCTCCTTAAATTTGCTGTTCTTACTATTTGCTATAAGCTTAGACTAAATCTTTTGCTTTCATTCTTTTTTTCTTATTCTTAATTTGCTATTTAACAATCAATCTTTATTTTTCATCTTCTTCGATAAGAGTGTGATATTCATAAAACCCATTTCCTAAAATTTCTCCCATTTTCATAAGATTTTCTGTGGTTAAATGAATTGTCTATCTTTCTTTATTTATATAACCATGAAATGATGCTTCTAATGTAAAGCAATTCATGATTCCGAATTCTTTCCATAACACTACTCTGGCAGCTTTAAGTTTTGATTTTTAGATTCTAAATTTACAACTATAAAATCTAAACATTTCAGTTCTTTCAGAGAGCAATTTAGGAAGTACCCTCATTTTAAGGTATCTTTCATTGTGTAGAGGGAAGTAAGGGCCATAAATAAATATAGATTTCTTTCGTGAATGGCCATGGATATCAATGAAGGCTGATATTGGCTCTTATTCTTTTGAGTTTTCAATAATCCCAGATACCAGTGCTTTAATTGAACATACTGTCGGATGAAGTTTTGTATTAGGATTAATAAATTATCTATTTAGATCATTACCACATAGAGAAGTTCTATAGTTGCCTATAATAACACCATCTGGATTTGTCATTGGGATTATTTTGAAAATTATCCTTTTTCTTAGTTCTATAGCCTCTGAATTAGTTGTGCTTGTTATGAATTTTAAAAATCCTTCCATTATGAATGAAGCATTTGTTTCACCAGGATGAACTCTAGAACAGACAATAATGTATTTTTTATATTTGTTTAGCGGTGGTGTTTATGTCTCATTTTCCGCTACTTCATTAGTTAGAAATTCTGTTGCATCTATTTCTTCAAAATTTTGCTTGTTTATTCTGCTAGTGATTGTTAAAATAGGAACTTCTAAGCCACTTATTGATTTGCACAATTATGTCTCTTTAATAAATTGATTATGAGTCTCTGGAATTTATAAGTGATGTTCTCGATTTATCGTTTTTAGAAAATTATATAGTCTTGAATATGAATAGGGTACAGAATAGGAAAACTAAACTTTATCATTCTCATATTAGAAGTCATGCTCAAAAGAAACTTAGAAGTACTTTCTCATTCGAATAAAATTGTTATTTCTTTATCCAAAACCTTGTTGACATAATTTTGATAGCTTATATAAAATATTTTCACCTCCTTTAATCCAGCCATCATTTATTATCTACTGGCCGTGTTATTTTCTATGATCATGATCTTTTTGACTGTGAATATTTATTTTCATTCCTTGGTGATATAACGATGCATTTTTTGTGAAATTAACAATGTTAAATTTGACTCGGCCCTTTACACTGCCATTAAGTACTGTAAAATTAAACCATTAATGATGCCCTCTGGTGTTAGAATCTACTCTCATATACAGATCATACTCATTGTCTTTTATTTAAATGGCCATATCTAGATTTCCACATTCATATCTTGAATCAAAGATCAAAGACGGCTGCTTGAATATATTTGGATTTATTATTCCTTGTTATGCAGTTAATTTAGGATTCATTCCATTAAATTCTCTCGGCACCTCCTCCTTTTTTCTTCTTTGTGCAGTTGCCATTGCCTCCAATACATTGATGTTTGGAGGGAACTTAAACTTATAAGAATCATTAGATCGATTAGCGAAAGCTTTATGCATCTCTAAGGAATCTTTAAATCTGCATCCATAGAAGCCTATATCATATTCTTCATTAGTTAACGGATTTATTGGAATATCAAACGACTCATAATCAAAATATAACGGTATCGGTGCACCATGAATATTCATTTGCGGCTTCCATCTTTATGTTATTAAGATATCAAATTAACTTACCCAAACATCATATCAGGTTTTAAGGAGTATTGTGAAGTTATTATAGGAATGGCTTTTGGCACAGAATTTATAATACTCTTTCTCATTTCTTGATCCATATCATCATATAAGGAGTTTATATTAGGTTATTAAGAAGCTACTGCTGATGAAGAGACTTCCTCTGTAGTTGCCTCATTTCCATCACTATATAGCTTAAAATCTTGCATAATTTTAAGTTGACTCTCTATATAATGATTAGTTGATTGAATTACTGTTTGGATTCTGACTATTGTCCTATTAACTTTTTTCTTTTTATTTAGTTAGCTTGAAGTTTACGTTCTCATCCTCCGATTCTTCCTCAAATTCATCGTCGGATTAGCTACCAGAGAAGTGTAAGTTCCTTGGCTCTTTGCTATGGTTCTTTGAGTCTAGATTCTCAATAGAAAATGCTTTATCGCTCAACGATTATTTGATAAATGTTGTATTTTGAGGTAGTACAGGTAAGGACTGATTTAACTAAGAAAAGAGGTCCATTTAATCACACTCTATTATTTCTTAATTTAAATTCGTTTAAATTTTTGACTTAAAAAAAATCATTCCATATGGGGTTTTGGGGTTTTGGGGTTTTGGGG